GAGCTGCCTGCGAAAGATGTGGATCCTGTGTGTACGGGAGGTGTGGGCAGAGCGGGGGGCCAGGGAGCGTTGGGCACAAATGAAGCTCAAGCTCCAGCTTGTTCTCCCCCCCCACCTTCGAGCAAACGGCCATGGCGGGGGCAAGGATGAGAGGATGCGGAGGATGGAGAATGAGGAGGACGAGGCGGAGGAGGAGGCGGAGGAGGAGAAGGAGGAGGAGGAGGAGGAGGAGAAGGACCAGTGTAAACTCAAGAGTTATCAATGATGTTTGAAAAACCCTCCCTCCAAGCTCCCTTTTCATAGGCCCTACACTGGTTCATTTCCACTCAGGGAACTTCTTCGTTGGAAGACAACCGGCTGAAGACCCTGAAGCATGCCAAAGCATGGTTCTCGGGATTCCAACGCCGCGGATCAACCTGACTGTTGCGTCTTGACGATCCTGAATCGTGCCAGAACGCCATTCCTGAGACTTCAACGCCGCGAATCAGCGCAACTGTTGCACCTTCATAGGGCTGAATCCTTCCGAACCGCAGTTTCTGGTACGTTGATCATGGGAATCCGTGAAACTCTTGCGAATGTTTGAAGCGAATGTGCGTGGCGCTAAGGCGAGAGCCAGATTTTGAAAGGGAACCGCACTCAATCTGTGAAGCTCTTGCACATTTGTATGACGGATGTGCGCGGCGCTAAGGCGAGAGCCACAGTTTGAAAACGGATCGCCCTGCATCCGTGAAACTCTTGCAAATTCTTAAGACGAGTGGGCGCGGCGCTAATGCGAGAGCCACATTTTGAAAACCACCCGCCCTCCATCTGTGAAGCTGTTGAAGATTTCTAAGCTTCAGGGTCATTCAGGGTCAGTAAGTCTTGAGCGGAGCGCCCGGACCACCCTAAAAATTGGCCTCGGGGTGCGACAGGGAGAAGTTGTTTATAAGGGAAAGGAATGGAGGAGAAGGAGGAGGAGGGGGAGGAGGAGGAGGAGGAGGAGGAGGAGGAGGAGGAGGAGGAGGAGGCGGAGGAGGAGGAGGAGGAGGAGGAGGCGGAGGAGGAGGAGGAGGAGGAGGAGGAGGAGGAGGAGGAGGAGGAGGAGGTGCCTCCGCTGCTTCGCCTCTCCTTCGTCTTTCACCGCTTCCTTCTCTTCTTCTCCCCATCCCCTCCTTCCAGCGACATCATCACTGTCTACGACGAGAGGTGCGAGAAGGAGAGAACACACAATGGGATCGTGAAGGTGCCCGTGGAGTGCGTTACCATCGTGAAGAACAAGGCGGTCTTCTTTTGGGCGCTTATGCTGCCTTTCCCTAACCCCTCCTCCCCTTCCCACTTCCCTGATCCTTCATCGCTCCTCTGCCTCCCTGATCCCTCGTCGCTTCTCACTCTTCTCTCGCCAGTCCTCTTGCTCCCTCTTCCCTCCTCCCTCCTCCCTTCTCCGTCCTCCTCCGTCCTCCTGCACCTCTTCTCCTCACCCCTTCCTTTGTCCTCGCATCCTCCTTGCTGACCTTCCCGCTCTAGACCTTACTTCATAGGAGTAGAGCGCTCTTTCCGCAGAAGATGTTAAACTGCGGGCGGAGGGGTGGAACATGGAGGCAGAGGAGGTGCGAGGAGAATCAGAATGGGGAGGAGGGGACTGACATGAGGAGGGGGAGGGGAAGGGGAGGGTGGTTGTGGTTGGGTGGGGTAGTGGGGGGTGGGGGGGCGGGGTTGGAGCTGATGCGAGGGATAGAGAGGTAGATGATGATGATGATGACGACGATGATGATAATGACGATGACGATGATGAAAAGGAGACCATTGTCGCCTCCACGTCCGGGGTCCGGATGGTCCGGGTGGTCCGGGTGGTCCGGTTGGTCCGGGTGGTCCGGTTGGTCAGGGTGGTCCGGGTGGTCTGATTGGTCCGGGTGGTCCGGCTGGTCGGGGTGGTCGGGGTGGTCCGGATGGTCCGGGTGGTCCGGGTGGTCCGGGTGGTCCGCTTGGTCCGGGTGGTCCGGGGATGACGATGATGAAAAGGAGACCATTGTCGCCTCCACGTCCAGGGTCCGGATGGTCCGGGTGGTCCGGGTGGTCCGGGTGGTCCGGGTGGTCCAGGTGGTCCTGTTGGTCCGGGGGGTCCCGGGGGTCCGGGTGGTCCGGGTGGTCTGGGTGGTTCGGGTGGTCCGGGTGATCCGGTTGGTCCGGGTGGGCCGGTTGGTCCGGGTGGTCCGGTCGGTCCGGTTGGTCTGGTGTTGCACGTGTGGTCCGGTTGGTCCGGGTGGTCCAGGTGGTTTGGGTGGTCCGGTTGCTGAGGTTGGTCCAGGTGGTCCGGATGGACCGGTTGGTTTGGTCGGTCCGGGTGGTCCGGTTGGTCCGGTTGGTCCGGTTGGTCCGGTGGGTCCAGGTGGTCCGTTTGTTCCGGCTGGTCCGGGTGTTCCGGTTGCTCCGGTTGCTCCGGGTGGTCTTGGTGGTCCGGTTGGTCCGCTTGGTCTGGTTGGTCCGGTTTGTCCGGGTAGTCCTGATGGTCGTGGTGGTCCGG